CGACCTTAGGCTCGCGGTCAGAGAGAGCGAGAGAGAGAGAGAGAGAGCGAGAGAGAGAGAGAGAGAGAGAGAGAGAGAGAGAGAAAGAGCAAAGCGACGCACAGCACCTCTCTCTCTCTCCCTTTTACACACACACACACACACACACACACACACACATCTCTCCCGCGATTTATTCAGAAATTTACTCCCACACCGTAAGAAATCTGGCCGGCTCCCGCGGAACAGCAGTTATACCCGATAGGTCCCGAGTCCGACAGGTACATTTTGATTGACAGCTTTATACAGCCCAAATCCCTTCACAGCCTACATTAAAATGTGCTCATGCACACAGCTCTAATGCATTTTTTTTTCAAGAATGAGTCATTTATATGTTTTAACATCATTTATTCGTAACAAGCATAGATGCCACTTGAAAGTTGGAACAGAAATAAAATAAGTCCTACAGCTGTAACATCGTAACATCTCAGCACTCTATAGGTCTAGGTACATGCACTTAGCCTTTAAATTAGCCTACACACCAATGAAAAGAAATCTTGCTTAACATATCAAATTAAAATAAACTCTAAATGATGACGGGTATTTTGGCAATAACGAAATTAAGATAAAGGCTGTGCAAGTTGTTTCTCCACTTCTCTTCACAATCTGGCATTAGGGCGGCGGTGAAGCTGAATATTAAAATAATAATGCCACCATTAGTCTGTATACTCTGTCTACATTATGATTATATGGTTTAATTAATATTTATTTATAATTGAAAAACCCTTTACTCACCAAGATTAGGCTACGTGTGTTTGTGGAGGAACATTATTAAATCCACTGGCTTTAGCGCAGTCTCTCACTCATGGTGCGTCCAGCAGCTGAACACCCTTTCCTGCGGCTACAGGTCGAGATGCAGAGTTCTGATCCGGCTGATTTTGCAAGTTTTTGGTAGGATTGTTTGTTCATCTTCTACCAGTCAGGAACATGCATTGAATTTTTCATGACAGCAGTTTCACTTTAGCGAATGGCCTCTTCTTTTTACCTGTCAGCTTGCGGTTTAGGGCTCTACCGTAATACGCAGTGTATGAGCGACCGCGAAATACCTGCGGCTGGAATAACCGCTCCTTATGAGCTAGTGACTGGCTTGACCGCCGTCAAAATTCTCTTTTTTTACTACTTCGTCATCATTTGTTTCACCTTTGCAGGGATGGATTTTAATGCAGGGATTTGGATTTTTTCGGGTCGCGCCGGGTTCAGTCAAAGATCTTTAGCTCTAATGCAGACCTCTCGTTCATATTAACCACGTCTCCCTTCTGTTCAGTCGAAACTCCCAAACTGCAGGACACTTTGAAGCGCGACTCGTCACGTCACCTCTCCCCCTCCCTCTCCCCCTTCTCTCCCTCCCTCCCTCTCCCCCTTCCTTTCCCTCTCTCCTCCACACTGTCCCGTGATGACAACCACACATACTTTTTTGTAGGCATTAAATAAAGGATTTTTAATATTTTATGACGGTATAACGGTATTGAAACTGACACCGTTGCTATTTTTAGATCCCGCGGTATACCATAATACCGTAATACCGCCCAAGCCTAATGACTACACAATATTTTACTAGTTATTTTGTAAATACTGGTACTCGGCTTAAAGTGCAATTTAGAGACTTAACTACGTTAATTAGGTTAACTAATCTAGTTAGGTTAATTAGATCATTGGACAATAGAGGTTTGTTCCCCCCCCCAAAAAAAGTCTCTTAAAGGGACTAATAATATTTAAGTATAATGAAATTTTATTTAATTTTCTTTAAACTGTATTTAGCCAAACTGAAAGAAACAATAGGGTTTTTTAATTTTATATGAATTTTTGGAAATACTGTGAAAATTATTTTGCTCTATTAAAGAGCACTTGGGAAAAAGTAATTCATTTCATGGGAGGACAAATAATTTTGCCTTCATATGCAGTTGAGATCAAAATAACGGAACAATTTATAATCCTTGACTTTTCTCATAAATTAGATCATGTTCATTGTTCACATTTGAACATTTCACATTTTTAAGTTGTATCATATAGCAACAACATGAAATAATTGTGCTAAAAAAGATTAAAAGTAACATTTCTGAAGGCTACAGGAGTCATAAATAGGAGAAAATGTATAGACAGTTGCAGAGTGCAGCTGCAGAACATCACTAGTCTCTCATTCTGCTCTGCGGTGATCTGTATTCTCTCTTCCATTCTCTTCTTCTGTTCACTGACTGTTGTAAAAACCTTTCTTAGCTTCGTTGCCACCGTTTAGTTTCCAGAGATTTTCAACCAAGTTTAGATCATGTTTTTTGTCAAATCTTTTCAATATTTCAGAGTTTTTTTCCAGTTCAAGATATCACTTTACACATTTTGCTGTGGTATAGGGCTCATTTATCCTTCATGAAAATACATTAAGGACTAGGGTTGCCACTAACAACTATATTTATATTGATTAATCTATTGACTAATTTGTTGATTATTCAAATGATATAAAAGCATGTTGACATTCAGCATTGTACCATGAAAAAGTACAGATGTTAACAAGTCCTTGACAATATATAAAACTAAAACATTAAAGTTAAATGAAAAAAACAAAAACACAGAAAACCTAAACAAACCTTATAAAAAAACTAATTTAAATAACTTAATAAAAACTGCAAAGAAATTAAGCATGCTCATTATACCAATTGCAAAATGTATATCCACATCCTGTTCAGTAGGTAATTTATGCCACTAGCTAGGGGTGGATTTAACCAATAAGCAAGATAAGCAACAGCTTGGGGCCCCATGAAATCTAATGGCCTCCAAATAAATACCTAGAAGTATAAATGATACCTATGAATTATACATAACTTTGTTTTCTATTATATTATGTACAGTGAGGGTCCAAACATTTTAATTTGAATACAATCGTTACATCTGCGCAAATGTGTCCCTCGCCTTCAATCATGGACCAGTCCAGCAGTCAAATTAGTAAAGATTTGGTTCATTTATTATTTTTAGTTGTGAATTCATTTTAAGAAAACAAATCGTTTCAAATGTTTTACACAGTGTTTTACATATTATTTTGCTTTAAGATAAAATGTAGAAAAGGAGATAAAATGATATAAGAAACAAATAAACCAATAACAAAACAGCAAAATAATAACAAAGACAAATGAAGTACGAAAGAAAGAACTTTTGGGCCCCATGGTTGGAACTGTTTAGTGCCCCAAAATCACTAAATCTGCTCCTGCCACTAGCTACACAATGGAATGACTTTATAACAGGCAGAAGTAGGCACAGATCAATCTAACAGTTATAGATTCTCAATTCCAGTCCTCACGCCACAGTGCTTTGAATATTTTACCCATTGCCTATTTTACTTATTTAACACACCCAATTGAGCGAGCCTGATCGTTAGATGAAAGCTTCATGCTTGAACTGTCCTTCGATTGACACAGTCCTGTTTGTTGCTTCCTGACCCTGAGCATGCAAAATCTCTACTTTAGATCAGAACATTTATTCAGTAATTTGCTCTGAGCTACAGATTGCGGCATTTTCATACTCATATGAAACTCACAAGAGAAGTGTGCAATAATATACCTCTATAAATAAATACAATTTGAATTGACGTATTCAGTCCACTTCAAAGGGCGCTTTGTTGAATTAGAACTAATGTCTTTACTGATTTAGAGAAGCATACAAAATGTGGAGAGTGGTGGATGGCCTAACTTAGCCTTTGCTTTTACAAACACTCATTCACTTGAAAAGATCTAACAACTTATCTTCAAAAAGCTAATTTAGTTGACAAGAACACCTACTGAACTAGCTTTGCCATCTTCATAAACCTATACAAACATGATTTCACTGCCTTCCGAGTGACCCGAAGGTCCGTTTTGAATGGATAGTAAAATTAAAAAGGGATATCATTCAGATCTCATTTTCAGCTAAGTAAAGGAAAATGGCAATAGTTAGCTAATGTTTTTTTTTTTCCAAACACGTTTTAGATGTCATTTATCAAACTCAAATTAATGAACTGATTCTTTTACTATATTAGACTTGTCACAATAATAAATTTCAGGCTCTGTAATAAAAAAAATAAAAAAAAGCGTAAATCTTCCACTAACATTTTACCATTGTTGAGTGTGTTCTTAAACAGCTCTTTGACATTGTGTTTACCAGTGCTCAACAGAAATCACCGTGATTGACCATGAAGGTTACCTAGTTCAAACACAGACGAGCAATCCGCTGATGACTTGACTGATCTTCGCAGCTTTAAAACGCTCCTGTGGTTGTGTATGTGTTTGCAATCGGTGAATAGTGGTGAACTAATGAACATCATGGCCAATCACAGTCATTTCTGATAAGCACTGGGGAATGCTGTGGTAAATCAACAATGTTTAAGAACACTCTTAGCCACACTTAAATGTTACAGGAGACAACACTATTACAGACAACACTAGGGTGTACTACAGAGGACTGCATTGTTTTATTGCTCACTGGGTTACATAGGCTGAAGCAGGGAAGCGTCCCCACTGTGTTTTTCCTGGTGCCATGAAGTGAAGCCTAGGAGAACTCTTAAGTGTATTACTCTTAAAGAGATTGTAATTTTGTTTGATGCCTGGTATGCTTTTAATTGTTTAAATTTAACTGAATGATATAACAGTGATGTTTACACCATATCTGCACTTTGAAATCATGGCAACAGCTGGAGATTTGTAGTCCACTGCATGTTGTTGCAATGTTTACAGTGCTGATCCGTTATTTCAGGGTTTCTTCCCACCTCGGTCTCTATCATTTCTTTAAAACGGCGGCCGCGTGAAATAAGTTTGTGTGTTTTACGAACTGCAGGAATCCAATGCGAAACCTACATATCAGAGAGGTTCCTTTATCTTGGTTGCATTTTAATTGGTTAATGCACAAATGGTCTTTCTGTGATTGCACAGGACCTATCTTTAATTTTGCTTGTATTTCTATCTATATAAGTGTTTTCTCACACATTGTTTTCTTTTATTCAGGTTCTCTACAAACCAGGAGAGACATCACTGAGCCATGGAGGACTGTGGTAGCCTCATAGAGTTTGATGTACCCGAGTTCAGCAACACCGTCCTGAACCAACTCAATGAGCTCCGTCTCCAGGGCAAGCTATGCGACATCATTGTGCACATTCAGGGTCAGCCGTTCAGAGCCCACAAGGCTGTCTTGGCCGCAAGTTCACCATACTTCCGTGATCATTCATCACTTGGCACGATGAGTGGGCTCTCCATCTCTGTAATCAAAAGCCCTGAGGTGTTTGAGCAGCTGCTAGCCTTCTGTTACACTGGCCGAATGGCGTTGCGTTTACGTGATGTCATCAGCTTCCTCACTGCTGCCAGCTTCCTCCAAATGCAGGCTGTGATTGACAAATGCACGCAGATTCTTGAGGGTATTCACTCCAAGATCAGCATACCTGCCTCTGGTGAGATCGATCCAGACAACGAATGCACCACCTCAAGGGCTGGACGCAATGGTGTGAAAGACAGAGGAATCTTTGTGAACCCCACCGAGATTTCACCATCCCACTTTTCTCGTCAGAATCATTGCATGGAAGGGCAAAGCTCAGGTAAAGGAATAGCAGAGGAGGGTCAGTCAGACAGAGGGAGCAGCGACAGCATATCAGAGCAAGAGGCATCCATGGAGGTCGAGTCTGAACAGGTGGAACTCATCGGGAAGGATGGGCAGGTGACCGATGTCCATATTAAGCTGGAGAAAACTGACCGGCCAAGCTACTCCGATAGCTCATCGGCAGGGGACGACGGATATCACACAGAGCTAGTGGATGGTGAACAGGTGTTGGCCGTCAGTGTGGGATCCTACATGCCCGTGCTTTCCTCAGTCGGATACACTTACTCTGCACTACCTTCCTCATGTTTTGTCAGCCTGAGCTCCTCTAGCCCGTCTCGTTCCTTGCTCAGCAGTGTTCGAGGTGGTCGTGCCCGACCCAAACGTCCCGTGCCTCTTCCAGTTGATATGCTAACTCAACCTAAGCCAGGTGCTGACGAAGGAGAGCCACCGGCGACAACAGCTACCTTTGAGAATGATGTAAGGGAGCGTAGTTTACGAGGACAGTGGTACCCCTACAACGAGAGGCTCATCTGCATCTACTGTGGCAAGTCCTTCAATCAAAAGGGCAGTCTGGACCGTCACATGCGTCTACACATGGGCATCACACCCTTCGTCTGTAAGTTCTGCGGCAAGAAATACACTCGCAAAGATCAGCTGGAGTACCACATCCGTGGCCACACAGACAACAAACCCTTCCATTGCCAGATCTGTGGCAAATGTTTTCCCTTCCAAGGCACACTCAACCAGCACTTGCGCAAGAAGCACATGACCTCTGGCACAGAAATTAACAATCACACCGACCTGCTGGAAGAGGCACCGGATGGCCAGAGAGGAGAGCAAGAGGATATCTCAGAGGGCGAAGCAGCCTGTGGAGCAGCGTACCCTGATGACTTGTCGAAAAAATCCCCAAGTGAAGAGAGTGGCAAGTGCAGTCCGGAAGAACCCCCCGCATCCAAACTCCTGCGTGGATATTGAGATTTTTTTTTTTTTCAATTTACTTGCTTTGTCCTCTCTATCTAATAGGGAAGCTTAAAGGGTTACTCCTTTCACGATTAAGCCCAGCTGTTTTTAAAGAACGACAAGAAATAACCTGCCTTGTGCATTTTCTACTCGTCCATTTTTGTGGAAGTTCTACACAGGACTAAGATTGAGCGAATGAATTTTTAAGGAGTTTTTCAAAGGGAAGAAGTCCTATAATCGGGGAATTAAATAATCGGGGAGGAGGTCTCTGTAATCAAGGCCTTCAAAGAGTTTTATCACAATTTTATATATCTATATATATATATATATATTTCCATGTTTTTCAACATATTTACAGAGTAATATAGGCATGTTGCAATAATGAATAATGTGAAAGCTCAGATGAGATGCTTGTCATATCACGCTTTTACCTGACCTGTTTTTGCACATGTGGCCTGTAACGGGTCACTCACTCACAAGGAATGGTTTATCTGCCAGTGCAAGGCTCTTTGTGACACATCCGTTCAATACCTCATTATACAACCTCAACATACTCATCATTGACAGTATTTGTAGCTTGTTGTCAACTCCAGCCAGGTTTTACCTCATAGCAAAGAACCTGAAAGGAGGAGAAGAGGCTTCTCTCAAAATAGTCATGTTTGTTTTGTTATCAAAGGGTTTACATGAATGCAGAGGCGAAACCCCTGAACAAAACATCTCCACTTTACCAAGGCTTGATACTTCAGTGAAATATTCCTTAGTGATTGTATGAATTTAGAATTCTTTGTCAGTTTTCTCTAGCGGCCATGCCTATGGGAAAATTGCTGGTATACCTGTGGTGTATTGTCAGGATCAAGGATCCACTACAGAACATGATGTTTTATTTTCATCTTTTGTTTGTTATGTTGCCATATTCTTCCTAAAATCACAGTCTGTCATTCTGCACTTTCAGTAACTCTATCCTTTTGGTTTAAGGTAAAATCTCAACAGCATAGTCACATATTAGTGCTTGAGTATCAGCATAGTCAACAATATTATTCAATTAAGGAATGTTAAGTCAAATCAAAATTTTTGACTGTTTGTGCCAAGTTCTTTCTTGCTTTTTGGTTTCTTTTGCTCTTTTGAATCTTCACCAAAAGTAAGTTTTGTTTTTTTTTGTGTGGAAAAATATGGGAAGGGTGTGCCTTTAAAATGAAACTAAAATTCTACAATAGCATAATTGTAAAGGCATTTCTAAAAGTGGCGAAGGAGTCATTAAAGGAGTCATGCAAGTTATTAAAATAGTCTTAGGGCCATACCATAATCGGAAAAAGGGGGAAAACAAGTTCATGGTGAAATATTTATAGAGTTAATGTCCACACTTGATTGTCGGTTAAGATTTCAAATGCTCTTCTTGTGTTTAGCTGGGTTAATAGAGCTTATCTCTCTTTCTTTCTTTTTCTCTTTCTTTTTCCAGTAAGACAGCTGTGATAAGAAGCTCTCTTTGGCTTCTCACACTTAACGCATCTGTTGATTTACAGACCAAAACCTATCGTGTTTTCATACAAAAATGAGCAATTGATGAAGATTCGCTTACTGCCGGTATGCTTTTTTATGTTAAATAGTACAGAGCTGTTTTTTTTTATGTTGGAGGTTTAGTGTAAGGTTTCATACTACAATAGAGAAGTAATAAGATAAACCTGCAGTGTCAGTACCTCTGCTGTGGGCACTTTTATGTGTTGAATATTGTGAAAAGGGGGCCCTGGACAGTATCTCTTCCTATCCATTTTCACTGTTATATAACTGGTGCAAAACCTCATACCTCACACTTTTTTTATTTCATGTTTTTTTCTTGATCTGTGATTGAAAAAGTCTTCTTGTTGTTTCATGCCAATTTTAGATATCTTTTTTTTTTTTATCACCGCACACTGTCTTATGTTTTTTTTTTTTTTTTTTTTAAACAACTAAGATGGCGCTGCATTGTGAGCAGTACGCAAAACTTGTATTTTATACTCGTCACTACAGTCGAGCATCTGACTGTCTGCAGTATATTTGATTTATCGCTGTTGATGCTCAGGCAGATTAAAACTTGCCTCTTTCTCACAAGATTCAAGTCCTTTCAAGTATGCTTGTCTTGCCATTTGAATATTTACTTTACCACACCCTCCATAAATTCAGTTTAACAGTCAATGATAATTAGCATAACCAGCATTGCCTTTTTTTTTTTCAAAGACTGCATTATAATCCAACCAAGACGGCTTCTTAATTCTGTTAACACCAGTACCACACCTTGTTTCTGAATATATGTTGAAATACATAAGTGACTTACATTATGGTGCTTGTCTGTTTTCATTTTCAGTTTTTGTAGTGTTGCAGACAGTCACTTTCTTTCTTTTTTTTTTTTTTTTTATATTTCATATATATTATTATATCAGTTAAAGTATTTTAAGATTTCAAATGTAACTTTAGCACTGATGAAAAAAGAAAGGAAAGAGCCTTCTTTTCTACCTTTAAACGAACACTTCACTTTTTAAATTTGAAAATAGACTCGTTTTACAAACCCCACTACAGTTAAATAGTTGAGTTTTACTATTTATTACGTCATTCAGCCGATCTCCTGGTCTGACCATTAGCATCTTGCTCAAATTTTAACCTCTTAAACTCTGGGTCCTGGTACTGAATCCTTGACGTCATTTACTTCAGCATTCTTTAGATTTTAAAGGTACGTACTGGCCTAATACCCCCATCAGTGATTTTGTTCTCTTATCAGTTGGCATAGAATAACTTTTGCTTAGATTATGATAGACATTTTTAATTTTTTTTTCCTATGATTACTGACTTGTGCAGGAACAAACAAAATTAATTACAGCAACCTAGACCACACAGAACCTAAAATGTTCACTTTCAAATTTGCCAAAAACAAAACAACATTTTTTTGAAGGGGTTTAATATAACTCAGACAACATATACAATTATTTTACTCGCTTTCAACAGTGTTTTATGAAAATTCTAAGGGTTTTCTTTTACATTATTACCATCTTTTGCATTTAAACCTCTGCATGTGGATTTGTAAAGCTTTTTAGTTTGGGTAGCCATAATCCCCCAAATAGCACTTTACTTAAATTAAAGAGATTTAATAATTGGAAAAAGGAAAGTTACTTTTTTTTTTTTTAAGTTGATACGACAAGCTTTATATTAAGTCACACTGTTGCATAGCTAGGGACTAATTTCAACATTTCTTGAATGAGAGTATACAGTGCTCAGCATAATTAAGTATTGAAAGATAATACAATTAAATTCAAGCAAAATATTGCAAAAAAAAAAATTACAACCTACAAAACAACTTTTAAATTGTTTTCTTCTCTTGATGTTTTCTCTTCCCCCCAGAAATTGGGGAAGAAAATAAACAGGGGGCTAATGATTCAGGGGGGCTAATAGTTCTAACTTCAAATGCTGAGCACTGTAGTTTCTATTCATATTGATCTAGAAAATAGCAACCTTTCATTTTCATTAGTCTTAGTACACAAAATAACAACAGAGATGTCAAGCTTTAAATGGGAAAATTATTAAAACTTTTTTTATCGAGATGTCCTAATCCGATTTAATGTTCTATGCTGAGCTTATAGTGGTCTCGTCAGACGTGGAGATCAGCTGGATAGATTCAAAATTGGTAAAACTGTTTGTAGGAGAAGTTTAAAATGAGCCTATTTCCAAATAAATAATAAAAGTGGAGAGTTCCTTTTAAATTCAGTATATTTTATTTTATTTTTTTATTTTTTATTTTAGATTGTCTAAAGTCTAGACGTGCCATTTAAAATCTCTTCATGTGCTTATATCACTGGCAGATGATTGAGAACGAACCTTCTCAGAGCTTTGAATCAGTTCATGGCAGTTTTGAACAATGAGCCAAATGTGATCATTCTATTGCAGTTAACAAGAGCCAAAACTCTGAATGCAAACACCCTGTACTACTGACAGAGCATGTGTGGTGTGGTTCTGTGACATGAGATGTCACATGTATGTCCTTTTAAAAAAAAAATTGTAAGCCTGACTGGATTGTTTCCTGGAAATATTTAGATGTGCTCGGTTCCTTAACAAAATAGTACCCGTTCATCTAGACTTTGGCCACTAACCAAAGAGCAAACCAAAAAATTGTAAAGGGTTTGTGTAGTGTGTTGCACAGCAGACATGAGAGGGAGACCAAAACCAAGCCCTGGAACAAATGAATCCATGTTAGAGGTGGATCTTTTTCATGTAATTTCCCAGCCTCATGCTGGCTCTAACACCTGTCGGGGTTTTCTAGCATCGGCTGTCGTTTGTTACACACATTGGTGTTCGGTAGATGTACTCGAATGAAAGGTTTTGCTACGCTGATGTTTTACACTGAATGAAGCTGTAAGCATTTTGATGGACAGACTGTGGATGTTATTTGTAGATGATGGTACAAACACTGACAAGTTTTGTTAAGGACGTTAATTGACCGGTGCCTTGTTCTGAAATATAGGCTACACTACTTTGGGGTCAGTATGATTATAGATTTTATTAATAATATTCTTAAGGTGTTATATTTGTATTCAGAAATGATACTTTGTATTGAGCAAAGTAACCTTTATAATAGAAATACAATACAGGTTGCGTTGAAGTTAAGCAGGACAGCTATTTTTTTTTTTTTTTATATATATTTTAAAAACCCTTCATATTGGAATGATTTCTGAAGGTAAAATGTGACAAAGCATGGACCGATATAAGATTCTGACAGTATGATAACCTTGGATAAAAAGTTCACGGTCTCGCAGTTTCACTGTATTTTGGTTAAGGCCCTAAAATATATTCTTTTTAAATTTCTGGGTAAAAAATAAATAAATAAAATAATAAAAAAATCCCCCTTTGAACACTATATACAGTGCTCAGCGTATACAGTTGAAGTCAGAATTATAAGCCCCCCTTTGATTTTCTTTTTTTTAAATATTATGATATTTAACAGAGCAAGTTAAAGTCAAGTTTCACCTGTTGAAAGTCTTATTTGTTTTATTATGG